GGTTTTTTTTTTTTTTTTTTTTTTGGCTGCGTTGGATCCTCGTTGCTGCGAGAGGGCTTTCTCTAGTTGCGGCGAGCGGGGGCTACTCTTCGTTGCGGAGCGCCGGCTTCCCTGCGGGGACGTGTCTTGTTGCGGAGCACAAGCTCTAGGCGCGCAGGCTTCGGTAGTTGTGTCTCGTGGGTTGCTCCGCTGCATGTAGGATCTTCCCGTACCAGGGCTCTAACCTGTGTCGCCTGCATTGGCAGGAGGATTCTTAACCACTGAGCCACCAGAGAAGTCCCTCTGGTACACTTCTTAGAATAAAACCTGATCACAACATTTATGTGTAAGACAGGCAAAACACTAAATGGATTAAGATTTGGGACCCTCGTATACAACAAAATTAGGTACTTGAATGGGTGCCCGAGTGCATTACATTACAAGTACATACAGGGACTTCCCCACTAGCCCCATGGTTACTGAGCACTTTAAACATGGCTCATCCAAATTGAGATGGGCATAAAAATACACACTGGATTTCAAAGACAGTATCAAAAATAAAGGATGTAAAATATCTCATTAATAATTTATATTGGGGCTTCCCAGGTGGCGCAGTGGTTGAGAGTCCGCCTGCCGATGCAGGGCACACAGGTTCGTGCCCCGGTCCGGGAAGCCCCCACATGCCGCGAAGCGGCTGGGCCCGTGAGCCATGGCCGCTGAGCCTGCGCGTCCGGAGCCTGTGCTCCGCAACGGGAGAGGCCACAACAGTGAGAGGCCCGCGTACCGCAAAAATAAATAAATTAATTAATAAATAATAATAATAATAATTTATATTGAGGGAATTCCCTAGCAGTTCAGTGGTTAGGACTCAGCACTTTCACTGTTGGGGCCCGGGTTCAATCCCCGGTGGGGTAACTAAGATCCTGCAAACTGCGCGGCGTGGCCAAAAAAAAAAACAAATTTATATTGATGACATGATATATCTCAGATATATAAAATATAATATTAAAATTCACTTCACTTGTTTCTGTCTTTTGATATGACAACTAGAAAGTTTAAATTACATATGTGGTTTGCATTTGTGGCTTGCATTCTATTTCTATCGAAAGCACTGCTATAGGGTAGATATACCCGAGAGGCTCGTTTCAGATGCAGATTGCCAGGCCTGCCCTCCGGGGAATCTAGTTCAGCTCTCTGTATTTTAGGCAGAGAACAGCAGGAGCTAGATAAAGCAACAAGAGTTGAATTCTTTCCTGATTCTCCTCCCACTATGAATGCCTGATTCTCTTCCTACTTCTCAGTTGCAATTACCAAAAAAAGAGAATCAGTTTGTCCTAAATAATCATAAGTGATGCTCTTCAGTCAGAGCTTTTGGGTCAGGCTACCTCATAGGTCTCTGACCTACAGATTGTTTATCCTTAGGTCAAGTGTCCAGCCCAGGCCAATCCACTGTGACCGGTGGGGAGGGTGGAGGAGGCATGGGTCAAATGAAACAGAGTACAAGAATGACCTGGAAACTGTCCTCTCAGCAGGGGCTCTGGTCAGCCAGCTTTCTTTGGAGGCGACTGTGGGAACGCCCAGCACAGATTGGACTGGCCAGTAGTGAGTTAATTCAGAAATTAAAAGAGCATGATGCACATTCAAAGGCCCTGTGAGCACTAGAGCCAAAGATTGATTATTTCCTGAACTACACTCCAGATACACTTTCAGCCAAGCCACTCTACAAATAACAACAGTGATAGATCTAATCTCAAAAATATTTTGAGTCATATCTAACAACCAGCTTGCCAGGCTAAACAAGGAATTTAGGTGGGGAGAGACATAATGCAGGGGCAGATGGGACAATATTTGGAATACAGCCAAGGAGTCAAAGTTCCAGTCCCAAGGATGCCATTACATCACCATACGTCCTTGGGAAAGATGCCCTAACCCCTCCTGCCTCAGGCTTGTCATCTCTACAGGTTACAAAATGACAGGGATTATGACTACTGAATGGAATGACAGTCGTAAAGGTGCTTTTTAAAGTTAGAAGAGCTGCACAAATGTTATATTTACAAGTAGGAGCTGTCATTAACTCTGTTTACTCATGAAGGAGTAACCCCACAATACATCTTACCTCAATGAACACATCCTGCTCAGGGACCATCTGATTGTATTTCTTCAACCTTATTAAAACGTTGGAAATGTTAACTGTCAGCTCTCATACTCTCTTAGCACTTATTTCCAGCCATAGCTTCATCTGTAATGTACCTTCAGGAATTCACCACAATATATCAAAGCCTGCGGTCAGACCAGCAGCCCACCATGAACCACGCAGCATGTATTTAAGAGAAATACTGTCAGTCAGTCCTGCGGCTGATGACAACTGTCAGCTGAATCTGATGGTAGCTTTTCCCAATAACTGTCAGAATATTCAAGGTTTACAACATATTCTAATGCCCTCCCACAGCATTTCTGTGTAAATTATCCAAATGGTGAGGAAAGCCATAAAAGGAAAGCTTAGTTACCATGTTTTGAGCCCAGATTTATTTCCATGCAATATCTTGGGAAAACAAAATACAATTTTCTTTATGCTATGCCCCATTTCCTTTCCACAAGCTGAATTAACTTTCCCCCCAAATGTGCTCAGTTTTAGAGAACCAATTCAAAAATACTGAGACTGTTCTCATTTTCCTGTTACTTTACAGAGAGCCTGACACTTCTACTAGATCAACAACAATAGGAGAAAAGGGTTTATCAAATATTTGCATAATTGATTAGAAACCCGGGATATCCATGGCTTCCGGAAAAAAAAGGAGCTCTGTATCTTTAAGGCTCCATGGAGCTGTCTCTGCGCGCGATGCAGACAGTGCAGGTTCTGCGGCAGAGACTCATCCTATCGATAAGGTTCTGATAGCCAAGGTGGAGGATGGGAAAAGAATGGAGCTGTCCCAGCTACTCAATGAGATCAGGGCAAACTATGAAAAGCTCCTCACCAGAAGTCAGATAGAGACCGTGCTCTCAACAAGGATCCAGGTAATGATTTCATACAGACAGGCATCTTCCAGGATAAGGAGACAATCCATGTCTATCCAATTCCTGTCTCGGCCTCTCTGAGGTACAGTATTTCCTTTTCAATGCAGCATATACTGGGGAAGGAATTTAGGTTTTACTAAAGTGACTGGGACTACAGGGGGAAAGGCTGTGATTATTCCTGTTAAATAACCATTAAATGAATGTTGATTGATACATTTGATTTTTATATAAATCATGAGGTTACTATCATTTACAAAACATGGAATCAACATACAATAAAATGGTGCACTCTAATCTCTTTTAGACATCCTACAGGAAGGAACATTTCAGATACCCTCCGAAGCTATTATGGAGTTATTTATAGAGATAAGATAAATAACATCTTTAAAATGACAAGCTTTATAGTAAGATTTATTAGCTTCCACACTTTGCAAGATAAAACTAAGTAAAATATTTCTAAAAGGTTTCTATCATTTTTTAATGAGTTCAATTTTATACCAGATTGTTTTAAATAGAAATCATCTGAGTATGTGAACATGGCATTCAGAAACAATGATATAAATTGGGACAATCAAAACTGCCAAATCGAAAATGACTTTCTACTTCAATTACAGGTTTTTGCTTTTGTACTAAAAGATGAGAAATGTTTATTTCTAATACTAAGCATGCAATATTTAAGTATTTTTTTAAAAGAGAGTCAAGTTAAATAAGAGCTAAATCCTAATTTCATAGACTTACTTTGTTTTAAAGTGACAATCACCTTTAGTAATAAATTAAGGTCTCATCTCTAAACAAATGAATAAACAACTCTTTTAGAAACAAAGATTCAGAAATTCAGGGATTTTTTTTTTTTTTTTTTTTAGTTTACCTATCATATCTGAGTACAAGTTCTATTCCAAGCACCCAAACACAGCAAAGAGTTTACTTAAGAACATACCCAAAAGGGAAAAAATATTGCTGGGAAATCATAGGACATTACTGCATGCAATTCATTTTTAGTGGCAACATACATTTAACTTCTGGGTAACATTTTCAGTCTTCATAAAGAATTATCAGCATCGTAGATGAAGCAAATTCACTGGGATATTTGATTTAAGTGTTGGAATAGTTCACTCACCTTTTACAAAGAGAAGAAAACAATTAACAGATGACAGTTTCTAAAAATTATAAGCCAAATAAACATTTTATTTTGCAATAATAGAAATACAAGTTATTTAGTTTACAAGTCATTATGCTGAAATGAATAAAGTGAAAAAGCAAGACTACAGTAAGTTTTGTTTCATCTTCTTAACATAAAACTACTTTAGGGGATTTTTTTTCAAAGAATTTAGAAAATCAACTGGAATAAATTCAAGGAAGCCTGATTACTTATTACAAAATAAACATAAGCTAATTTAGTTATTTACTGCTGTATAACAAAACCACTCCAGAACTTGGTGGATTAAAACAATTGTATTGTCTTTCACGATGCTGTGGCTTGACTGGGTTCAGTGGGGGTTATTCTTCTGCTGCACATGACATTGGCTAGGACTTCAGTCATCTTGGGGCAAAACTAGGTTGGGACATCCAAGGTGGCTCACTCCTGTGTCTGGCACCTTGGCAGGGCATTTCTGGAAGGCTGGCTCAGCTGAGACAACTGGGCCTGTTTCTCTCCATCTGGCCTCTCTACATGACCTCTGCAACAGGGTAACCAGATTTCTTACATGTTGGCCCAGAGCTCCCAAAATCATAGGAGTGGAAGTCATCAGGGCTTCCTAAGGCTTAGGCCTAGAACTGGCACTTCAGCTATATTCTACTGGCTAAAACAAGACACAGGTTGTCCCAGATTCAGTGTGGAAGAGGACCAAAGAAGGACATGAATTTGGGGAGGTGTGATTCATTGGGAGCCATCTTCGAAATCTAGCTACCACACAAGCCTAGCTGCCAGCTCCTCACTCAACATCCAAGAGACCAGCATTTTTATGCTCTTCTATTTCCAAAATTCTTGTCACCCTCTTTTGTAGTTGCTCTGATATGTGTTGCTGCTTGGCTTTGCCAACTTAACACTAAGAATAAGTGATACAACAAACCAAAAGAAATGAATGAATTTTGTTGTCTAATACGTCACGTTAAACTTTATTGACTTTCATTTAATCCAATATTTCCTTTTAAAAAAAATCTGTTGGGCTTCCCTGGTGGCGCAGTGGTTGAGAGTCCACCTGCCGATGCAGGGGACGTGGGTTCGTGCCCTGGTCCGGGAAGTGCAGTAGGAGCAATGTATGGAATTAATTGCAGTATTTTGAAGCAAAAAATAGAACTTCTTAATGTATTTATAAAAATGCATTTTAAAATGTAAAAAATTTAATTTGGTGGTACAATAGATTTTTTTAAATTAATTTATTTATTTTCTGTACACGGGCTTCTCACTGTTATGGCCTCTCCCGTTGCGGAGCACAGGCTCCGGACCCGCAGGCTCAGCGGACATGGCTCACGGGCCCAGCCGCTTTGCGGCATGTGGGATCTTCCCAGACCGGGGCAGGAACCCGAGTCCCCTGCATCGGCAGGTGGACTCTCAACCACTGCATGCCCTAACATGCCTTCTAAAAAAGGTAAATCAACAATGGGTTCTCTTAATATAGAAGTCTATTATAGAATCTCTAATGCCTATGATAACTTAACTCTCTAAATGATTCATAACACACTTTCTAGCAGTATTGTAAATTATCCTGTAAGTTATTGTAAAGTATCCTGTCCATATACCCAGTCCTAGAAATGATCGATTTAGGATATATAGCTGTTTATCTGCTTTTATGAAGCAGCCTACAAGAAAATATGGGGGTGGGGGTGGGCAGTAGCTAATTTTCTATCTTTCTTCCTTAATGATACCATAAACAATAGAAAGTTAAGAATCAGAGGTCTCAGGACTTCCCTGGCAGTCCAGTAGTTAAGACTTCGCCTTCCAATTCAGGGGGTGCGGGTTCAATCCCTGGTTGGGGAGCTAAGATCTCACATGCCTTGCGGCCAAAAAACCAAAACATAAAACAGAAGCAATATTAACAAATTCAATAAAGACTTTTAAAAAATAGTCCACATCAAAAAATTAAATAAAATAAAAAAGAATCAGAGGTCTCAAACTTAGGTCCTGCAAACTTACTTCTCATTAAATGTATTTTTCTACATTTCATAGACTGTCATGGTAGGAAAAGAATTTTGAGGTTCAGCTTACATCCTAGAAAACTGAGGCTGAGAGCGCAATTGACTGGCTCATGAATTTAATTAATTAGTAACTGAGCACCAAGCCGAAGACACATTGGTAATTTAAAATTTTAAAGAAAAAACTATTTGATTCCTGTACTATTTTTCTATAACTGCTTTTAAATGTCTCATTTTCAAGAGTGCTTTTGTTGTTGTTGTTGTTGTTATTGTTGTTGTTGGCTTTCTTCTAGTTGGAGGAAGATCTAAGCAAAAAAATGGACAAAGATGAAGAGGCTTTAAAGGCAGCTCAAGCAGAACTCAAGGAAGCCCGACGCCAGTGGCATCACCTGCAAGTGGAAATTGAATCTCTCCATGCTGTGGTGAGAATAATCTCAAAAGCAACTGGCCCATTGAATCCCCAGATGTTATCTGATTAAGAGAGGGAAAGGAATAATGTCCATTACTGGCCAGTGAGAAACTGAAAATCAGACCACTGAATTCCATCCATGGACCTAGTTCAACTACCACCCTGCCTCCATCATGGCAATAACTATTATCAATTCACTCAAGGTTTATTCACACCTTTAAAAATGAAATAACCCTCGCTTATCACCCTGGGGTTCTCTAATTGTTAGAGTAGGGGAATAGAGCCTTTGTCATAATCCAAAGTCATAACAGTGGGGAGTCTTATCCATACCACTGAGAATTCTAATAGAAAAATATTTAAACACTTTCTGAAAATGCCTTTTATAAGCAGTCTGCTCTGGCTTTGATATTTAATATTCTATATTTTTCAATATTTAAGAAATCAAATAAATTAGGGTGATAATAAACTAATCACACTGCAGATTTTTTTTTTGGCCATAAGAATTATCACAGGATTCCTTTGAAATAGTAAGCTCTCTAGCTGTAAATAGAAAATACAACTTTTTAAAATTTGGGTCATACCTAAAGCTGTAAGGAAACACCTCTTGCATAAGGGCTGTACAATTATTGCAACCTTTTTAAGAAAGAAGAGAACTCAATAGAACAAAGACATTGCAAATCAGATTTCAGAAACACAGTTAGTTTCCCTGATTCACTGATGAAGATCTGTACAAAACAGGAAAGGGGCCTTGAAAACTCCTTACACGCCAGTGAACAACATTACCAGATGCAGCTGCAAGACCTAGAGGCAGTGATTGAAGGACTAGAAAAAGAGCTACAGGAAGTAAGGCGCGGCATTGAAAAGCAGCTTCAAGAGCATGAGATGCTCCTCAACACGAAGATGAGGCTAGAACAAGAAATCGCAACTTATCGCCGCCTCCTGGAAAAGGAAGAAATCAGGTACCTAATTCCATATAGTGAATGACCAGAAATACAGAGCCACTTATGTCACTGAGATAGAGAAATTAAATCTAAAACCCATCATCACCAAGGCATGCTCACAGAGTTCCTACCACAAAACGGGATTAGTAGGCACTGCAAAAAATATGTGGGAGAACTATTTCCAGCCTCCCAAAATTATGAACAGACTAGCCAAAGCCAGGGACATTAGCTACAACAAAGAGCACAGCAAGCCTAAAACAAAATGTAAACAGTTCTCTATCGCTACACAGATGACCTTCCTTAACTTTCTCACTTTCCTTGCCATTCACCCCTTTTAGAATTAGTCAGTGCCTTCTATGGCCCACCCACAAAGAAAGTTTGAAAAATTCGCACATTACCACATTCCCCCTCCCATAAGGGCCCATTCCCAACACACATCAAACACCAAAATAATAATAATAATAACAATTATTATAACCATAATAATAATGCTATTATTTTTATTATAGTACAACCACGGAAAGCAATGTTGTTCTGAGTACATGATTTGAAAGATTTCCAGATATCCTGGTAACGAAAGGTATCAAAAGAGGAATTCTCATTAATTCACATAATTTCATAATCTGCAATCACTTATAAGGTCATATGGCTTTGAGCACAGCACAATGTACAAATTTTCCATGTTCCCATAAAAAGAAAACCTTTATTCCTGCTTACTTCAGAATTCTGAGTCCTCTATAAAACTGGATATAACTACTTTCACCTATAATAAGTCTCGACATTTACTAAATCTTTGAAAAACGTAAATTGAATTAAACATATGCAACTTACTAGCTAAGTGATGCTGGGAAATTTACTGAATCTCTCTGTTCCTCAGTTTTCTCATCTATAAAATGGGAATAATATTGCCTACCTCAAAATTGCTGAGGATTAAATGAATTGTTTGTAAAGTGCTTAAAAGAGTGCTATGTAAATATATATATAGCTACATACATATAATTTATTCATTATGAAATAAAATGGTTGTAAATTTTATTTAATGCCTAATCATTCACGATGTTGATAAAGTGGTCTTTAACATTCCTTTAATACAATTTTAAAAATTTTATCATGCTATATTTAAGATACACAGGTATCTTAAATTTATTTAAGATAAATATACAAAGTATCAAGAAAAATATAATGAACTCCCATGTTTAAGAAGTGAAACATTTACAATGTTATTGAAGTCCCCCCAAATCCCCACCCCCAGCACCTAAACCACATCCCCACCAATCTCATTCTCCCTCAGTCTAACCTGGCTCCCAGATCTGACGCTTATGTCTCATTAGTCTCATTATATATCCCTAAGCAAAATGTGAAATTGTTTTGCATGTTTTTTAACCTTGATAAAATTAGCTACAATGTATCTTTCTTTCCCCACTCATTGTTATACTTGGGAGATTGTTCCCTACAGATAGAGTATACCCTTAGTTCACTAATTTTCACTGCTAAGTAGTATTTCCTTTGTATGACTATACTACAATTTATCCATTCTCTTATTTGTGAGCATTTGTTTCAATTACATGCTAATACAATGTTGCTCCTATAATTCTTTCCAATTTCAGATATTATGGTTGCATCCAAGGTGGGAAAAAAGAACAAAAACCTACCACAAGTAGAGTCGGTTTTGTTTTACCTTCAGGTGAGTTTCTGATATAAGTTAACTAACTTAAAAAGTGAAGTGCCTGGTTATAGGGATTATAAATAAATACTCTAAAGTAGCAAAAACAAGCAATATTTGGATAAAGTTTGACATACAAATTGACTGTGAAGTCCTTCAACATTGTAATTTAATATTTCATAAATAATATTTTCACAGCCATTATAAATGAAATATCTTTTTCAACAAAAGTCCCACAGAAGTATGAGAACGAAAAAGTAGAAACAGTGACCAAACAAGCAATATTAAATGGAAATGTCGTGAAAGAAAGCACTGAAGCTCATGGCACTATTCAGTAAGTAAAAAATCTTCACTAACAGTGAACATATGCCAAAAAAATTCAATTGAGTAATCTCAGCAATCTTTGAACATTTCTAAACATAATTTTATATATTGTGATTTTTAACCTGACATAAATAAATATACATAAACAAAAGCTGAAGTATTCTATTCTTAATTGACCATTTTTCCAAAAATATAACCAAAACATGAGAATTCCATAGAATCAGTTAGACATTTTATTCATATGATTTTTAAAGAATATAAATAATAAATGCCACAATGTAAATTATAAATTATAATTTAAAATGTAAATATAAATTACATTTCTTGATTTATTTTTCATATACAATACATTTGACATGTTTTTTACTATAGCCATACCTCTTCATATAGAAAGATTTATTTTATCATTTCAGGACAGAGAAAGTGGGTGAAGTTATTAAAGAATGGGAAGGTTCCTTCTTTAAAGATAACCCTCGATTAAGGAAAAAATCTGTTTCTCTTCGATTTGATCTTCATTTAGCAGCCACGGATGAAGGGTGTTTACAGACTAAGCAGGATAATCTACCAGATATAGAAGTCAGGCTTATCATGAGAAGATCATGCAGTATCCCCTCTATCAAACCTCCATCAGCAGCTAATTAATCCAAAGACAGTATTTGATTTGATGTGAAAATGACATTAGGTTGGACCAAGGTAGGCCTGCTGACCACCTTCTGTCCCAAAATGTAAGTTACTAAGTATGTATGTTATGACCAATGTATGAGTCTTCAGAAAAAAAAAGTGGGGCGGGGGGACAAAATGTCTCTGAATCTAATTATAGGTGTATTTTTTGGACAGAGGGAGCGTAAAATCAGAAATTTAGTACAGTTTCTATTTTATTTATTCTCCAAATAGTCTTATTTTTCCCTTGAAATTTTTATCAGAGACTGTAAGCATTAAGGTGGTTTAGTTAAGCCTTTGAAATTTCACTCAGTATCTGAACATTCTAAGGAAAAGGGAATAGTCTGTTTAAATATGATTGTATTATGTTAAGAACCACACTGAGTTATTCATCATTATTCCATGACTGGTTATATCTAAAAAGATTTTTCTACTTAAAAAAAGAAAGCAATTATAAATGAACCTTCAAAGAGGACTATTCACTTAACCAAATGTTTCCCTTTTGAGATAATAATTTGCACCGGTAGAAAAATAACAGTTATTTTCTGCAAGATGTTTTGAGCAAACTATAGAACACACCCCAGGGCTAATTTGATGATTAAATTCATCTTCATCTGAAAGTTTTTTGTAATCATTATCTGATTTCCAGAGAGTTAACTTTATTCTAAGAACTTTAAAGGTTGCGTCCTCCCCCACAAAAAAATCAGAAGTCCAGCTGCACAAAAAGAACATGAAAGCTAGTTACTCCAATTACTAGAACAGTTAATCCAACCTCTCACCATCCCAACTTTTCCATCTGTAAAGTTAAATGTGATTAATTTGAGTCTCTGATGCAAGCATTAGAGATACTATATAAAGTATTATAAATATTTCTTGCGAACATTTATGTGAATTAAGATAACAGTATTGTTCGAACATTTATGTGAATTAAGATAACAGTATTGTTATCTAAGCTAAGAGTATTTGCAGGATTTATGTTTTTAAATTGTTCAAACTCTAATAAATATGGATAGAAAATATATTTGTGAATAAGTCAAGTATTGTTGCAAAGTTTTTTAAACAACCTAATTTGTTTAATACAGGTATATTTAAAGACCTTAAATAATAAATACCTGTTTTAAAACATTAGAAATTTATAGGCTATCAATTTTTTTCTAAGCAGAAAAAAACATTGAGTACAACTCACCATACTTTTTTCCCAGCTAAAATATCATCTAAGGGCTACAGCTGTTAGCATATTAATACAGCCTTTACAACTCTCCCTCTCTCTTTCTCTCTCTTCTTTCTTTCAACCAAAAAAAAAAAAAGTATATTTTAACCAGAAGAAAATTATGTTAAATAATCTTTAACATAATCCAGGGAATCACATTTAAATTTTCTTTTGATTACTTCAGATTTCTTTTAGCCTGGCTTATTCTGTTTAGTGAAAGGGATGATTTTGTTTTGTCAAGGATACAACAGCATGTTAAGTGCTTATTCTTGCATAAGCATCTGACCTAAAATACATCCTACACATAAAAATGTTTTCATTCAATATTAGTTAAATGCTACTAACTTTATTAAAGCTTTGGAAATGCAATCATATAAGCTATTGTGCTAAAGTCACTGTACTAAGTAACAGTATCATAAATAAAGAAATATATCTAGTGTAATCTATACGCAGTGTCGAAAACTTAGTACTGGGCATCATGAATGTAACTGCTTGTTATAGTAACTCCACTATGCAGCTATTGTGCGTATTACATGTACATTTTAAAATACAGTACTTGAATTTATAACAGAGTTTTATTTGCTTTGGGGCATTTTAAATTGGGATATGAATTTACCAAAGTAAACGATACCACTACAATAAAAAAGAAAATTGAAACATGAACTACAAACCTGCATTGTATTTGAGTTTGATACATTGTTTTGAGTTTAATTGTTCCAATATTGTTAGCTCAGTTGGGGGAATGAAGAAAACTGTAACCAAGGTGCACAAAAGCACAATTTTTATACTTTTTTTAATAACAGAAAAATTAAGAAGAGTATATTCTAATAAATGGTATATTCTAATTAAAAAATAAAAATAATCCCATGATCCTGGGAAAAGTGTAATAACAGCAGCCACCATTTGCAGAGTGCTCACTCTGCTCTGGGCCCTGTACTCAGCATCTTCGTACACAATCTCTAATTCTTACAACAATCCCACAGATGAATATTATCCTCACCTGATGGATGAATAGAAATGAATATTCTTCAATCTCTCTGAAATGGCTCAAATGCACCCTTCCATAACAAAATACAAAAGTAAATAATAATTCCAGTTACCAACAATTGCAGGATATCAGCCCTGGGACTGTCAGTAATGACCCATGTAACCAGGAAGGAATCACTTAAATTCCCTAGGCCTCAATTTTCACACCTGAAAATTAAGAGAAAGATGGTGGTTGATCAGAACTCCTACCCTGCCTACCTCACAGAAATGTTTGAAATAATATACATGTGAAAATATTTGGCAAAGCACTACTCAAATATACAGTACTATTTGGATGAAAATGGTCACTGGGAGAGAAGAATTTGTGAGGACAATTATAGCTGACGATGAGTAAGTAATAGTTCAAACACAACAGGTAAAGAGAATTTTTTAAAATTCTTCAATTACTGCCAGAAGAATTATTCTTTCCCAGTGAGTTACCCAATTTGAACTGTTCTACCATGATAGTTTAAAGTACAAAATGTTCTCCAAAGTAAAAAAAAAAAAAGTTTAAAATAATTTGAAAGTTTCCAATGGAATCATGTTATGGTACATGGGCCAAAAAATAAACTTCAGTTAAATAATATGTATACACACATTACTCAAATTAGCAACACATGAAATGAAAGGAAAGTCTGTGCACAGGGTAGAATTTGGTTCTACGTTTATAAGTTATGGCCATCATGTACACATAGATTGCCAACATTCATGGGCATACTACAAAGAAACATTTTGAAATAAGGTGTATGTGCAAACCAGTACAAGCCTTTTCCAGTTTCCCTCACCCATTTAGACCCTAGACCAGGATTGGCAAACTTTGTAAAAGCCCACATAGCAATTATTTTAGGTTTTTTGCGCCGTACAATCCCTGTAGCAACTATACAACTCTGCCCTTATGGCTGAAAGCAGCTGCTACATAAATAATATGTAAATAAGTGGGCATGGCTGTGTCCTAATAAAACTACAAAAACAGGAGGCAGCCCAGTCCTGGCCTGCACCTGCAGTTTGCTGTCACCTGCCCTGGACCCTCAGATAAGGCCTGTGGATGACAGACCCATACCCCAGGTTCTCCAGGACCATTCTGTTTTCAAACACTTTCATCCTTTTCCACACCGTGTGTCAAAGTTCATGTTCCAAATCCCCAGGTACTTTGAAGGTAATGCTGAAGGCTGTAAAAACAAACCATACTTTGTCGAAGTCTCTACAAAACATCGTGAATCACTCAGACCTGGAAATCTTCTGGGCTTCAATATTTCACAACAATTTCTAGTGATAGCAACTGAATAGCCATAACTTCTGCCTTCAAAGGAACGGCTGAGAAAACTAGCTTATTTCACCATTTTTCCTAAAGCCAGAATTTTTTTTTAATATCCAGACTTTATAAGATATTTGGCTCAGATAGAGTTCTGTTCTCCCTTTCCCTATTTTAAGGGGGAAAAAATCCATTGAAAAAAGCTTCATTAGAACAAACTACAAATTGCATGGTTCAGTGTTTGGTCCAAAATCTTCTTTGAGTCACAGAACTCTTTGGAAATCTGTTAAACTCCAAACCCTCTATCTGGGGGTTTAAAAAAAAAAAGCATCTAAAAATTGTGTACAATTTTAAAGCGTTATAAAGGAATAAACCTCCTAGAACCTATTCACACAGACTACTAGGTGTCCAAGGACTATGGGTTTTTCCTTGTTCTCTCCCATTTTCTCCTCTTTCTTCCTTCCCACTCATGGTTCTCATCCTACCCCTAATTGTCTCCCTCCCGGCTTCTTCCCACACTACTATAGAAAGAAATCAAAGAGACCTGGGCTTCACTCCAGCTTAATCACTTACTAGTTTTGACTTCCCTGCTTGGAGCGGGGGGAAGAAGAATCTCAAGGAAATAATGAGCAGTGTCAGAGAGGAAAGCGGGCCAAGTTCCTGAATCTTGCTGCCAGAAAGAAAACTAAACTACTTGGTCCTAAGACTATCACTGTGGTCTACCATAAGGCGCCTGCGAGGGCTCCCAACAACTTCACAGTTACATATAGCTGAACAGTCATGTTAATGATGCATACCATGTTTTCCAGGAATAATCACCATTCCAAAAGTCTGTCCTGCAGTTCCCATAAATATCCTTGTCCATGCAAGATCATATGTGCTGATGTTTGCTTGGGGAAAAATCAACAGCAATTCAGTGTAAGTTGAATCCACTCTTCGGTCTTAATCTCTAGGGCTTTCTCTCTTATATCTTCCCTATATTCCTCCTTTCTTAATTTTGCAAATCTTCGGAGCACAGAAGGAGCCAAAGGGAAGAAAATGAACTAGCCATTCATTTATTCACTCCACAAATATGAGCACCTGAATGGGCACTGTCCCCCTCCGCCCCGCAAGGAGCTTTCATCCTGATGGGAAGAAAAAGACAACAAAACAAGCACATAACAAATAGAGTATGTTAGGTGGTGATAAATACTGTAGAAAAAAACAAAGCACAAACCATGAATAGAATGGAGGTTGGGGAATGAGATGCAGTTTTGAATAGGTCAGGAAAAACCTACTGAGAAGGTGACATCTGAGTAAAGACCAGGAGGTGAGAAAGTGTATCAATGTCACTACTCCTCCGAGATCCCCTCCTTTCCTTTTCCACCATTTTTGTGCCACTCTGTTCGCACTACAGTGTGCTTTGTTCCTAACACCCGGCACCTGCAGCTTTTCTGCAGAAGACTGCCTAGAGATGACACAACCCAGCACCTGCCCCGGCACCTCACTTGCCCAGTCCCCCACCATGAAAGCCAGAGAAAGAAGGTACTGGGCTTCCCTGCTGAGGCATTTGTGTATCTTACATTAATCTGTATCTCTGATGCATGTATATATATATATATCTCAAGCACCACTCAGGCCCCCCATTATCCT